TTGGAGGATCCCACTGACTCCATCACACAGATAAGGAAAATGTAATTACATCTGTAGGAATTCCATCAATACTGAGCAGCAGCAGGCTGGGTCTCAGGGGAGATTTTTCATTGCATTGAAATCTGACTTTATTAATTACCAGCTTCTGATCTCATTTGAGGGTTAAGTTTATGAAACGGAATCCTTAGTCCTCTGATTTCCTTATTCAGCTGGTTTATTGAGTCTTGTACAGTGGATGGTTTGGACCTTAGAAACTCCCAAGGTGTCTTGTTCTTCTGGCATGAGCTGTGCAGGAGAAGAAGCATCAGAGCAAGGAGAGATGATGGAGTTGTACACAAATCCCGGGGAAAGACAGAGGAAGAAAACATTTCTCAGGAAAACTGAAGATGGGGACAGTTGCCTGTTGTCAAAGGTCTTAACCCCAAACTACAGCTTATTTTCCCCCTGACAGGAACAATAATGCTGGTGGCAGCACCCAGAGCTCCCATGCCTGCCCATCCCCGAGGTGTGGGGCTTTAGCAGAGCCACCACCAGCCTTTGGTGCACTCTGGACTATTCACCTCCTCCTGGGGAAAGCTTCACATCATCTGTTTATCCAGGGAGCATCAGGCTTGGCCGTTGGCACTTATAGGATTGCCTGGTTTTTATCTAGACATAAATTATTTTTTATTAAGAGAAAACAGCCACTGAACAGCCCTTCAAGCTTTGGGCTGGTGTCTATTTCCACTTGAAGAGCTTTGTTAGATAATTGTAATACTTTTCTGAGAGAAAACAGAGCAATTGAGGCTTGTAATTAAAAGCTATTCAGAGAGCTTTGATCCTTCTCTCTGCATCTTCACTTACCATACACAAATGCCAACAAGAAACTCTTGGCAATATTTACTGTCACTATTCTTGGCCTTTGCCTTTAAAGCAACTCCTCTTCCTCACTTCCAGTCAAAGGGAGGGGGGTGAGAGAAATTTGGCAACATGGCATGTGGCTTTTCAATAGAGATTTATTTGGAACATTTTTTTTGTTTGTTTTTTTTGGAGGATGCCTGATATCACAGAACAACAGAATCATTAAGGTTGGAAAAGGTCATCAGGTCCAGCCATCAACCCAGCACCACCACCATGTTTGCTGCTAAACCATGTCCTGAAGTGACACATCCTCACATTTTTTTGAGCACTTCCAGGGATGGTGACTCCACCACTGCCTTGGGCAGCCTGTTCCAATGCTTGACCATCCTTTCAGTGAAAAAATATTTCCTAGTATCTAATCTAAATCTTCTCTAATCTAAATTCTTCTCCACTTGAGGCCATTTTGTCTCATCCTGTCACTCCACGATGACAAGCCTGGAGCTCCTCTGGAGGACTCAGAGCTGACATGGAAGAAGGGTTTATCACCTCAAAACTGGCTCCAAGCACAGCCATGGCTGCAGTGATGGTGTGGGTGGGTTTTACCCACACTGTCTGTCTCGGGCAAGGACAGGGAGCTGCCGGTGCTGTGTCCCCACAGCCCACAGAGGGTCCTCAGGTGACCTCCTGGCTCACCATGAGAGGAACCCAACCTGGGGAGTCCTCTTCCCTTCAGCAGCAGGCAGGAATGTCAAACCTTGAAGTGCTGAGACCCTTTGAAGGCACCAAACCAGGCTTGTTTCTCCCAGAGTTAGCAGCAAAGGCAGAGGGTCCCCATTTCACTGGGTTTGTGGTGGGAGCATCAGTGGCTCATCAGCACCTCCCAGCAACTTGTAGTAAACAAGGGGAGTGCTAAAGATAAGTCAGGCCGTACATTACAGGGACAAATCCTCTTTCTTGGATTGATTTTAACAGTATCCTCTGGAGACTTTTCCATTTCACATCTTTTGTAGTCCAAGCTTTTGCTTGCCCATTTTTAATCTTTCTTTTCATTTTTTCTTTTCCTCATCTAAAGACCTTTCTGATAGCCAGGCCTTCATCAATCAGCAGGCTATTGTTTCTTTTCTCACCCAAAATCGTGACCAGCCATAGAGAGACAGTGTGAGACTGCCTAAATCCCGGGGGATTAGAGCTTCCGGGGGAGAACAAGCTGCAGCACAGCTTGGATGAGGACAATTGATCGGAACAGCCGTTATTGCTGCAGCAGGAAGACTTAAAAAGCAACAGTCATTTCCAATCCCCCTCCTCTCCCCTTGCCTCAGACACCTGTGTTTAAAGCCTGCAGTGGGAATATAAACCCTGTATGAACCCTAATTCCGGTTCTGGGGTGGAAAACAACTTGTTCCCCCTCTCCCAGGGATGATGAAGCAGAGTCCTTCAGGGCTGTCTGTGGTCATGAGTGCAGCAGAACGGGGAAGCAAATTCCTTCCTGGAAAGGAGGCAGGCAGGAACCTGCTGCTTTCCTCCGTGCCACTGGACTGGGCTGGAGTAAATGGAAAGCCTTCAGCTCCTGCTGTGACCAGCGAGGCTGTCCCTCATCTTTGCACCCATTAAGACACTCCAGACTGTCCCAAAAGGAAATTTCCCCCAGCTTTGAGGCTGAGCTGACTTCCCTGCTCCAATGAACATCTCTCTGGGAAGGGGTTAGGATAGGAGGGCCCTGTGGGTCCCTAATTCAGCCTCCTGTGACCTGCAGGCCCTAGAAGGATGTTTGGTTTAGGAGGGAATTTATTCAGTGAGTTGTTAATGAGGTTTATTTTGCAGCTTCCAGTCTTCAAGATGCAGCTAATGTGGGTTGGTGTGGCAAGCCAGTCCCAGCAGCGGGAGGAAATTCAAAGGAATGAGTTGGCATGCAGGGTTTCCCTGTGTGTGGGGGAAGAATCTCCTCGAAGGCGTTTTCTGCTCTCCCAGAAGGAGCCGAAGCAGCCTGGCCTCGGGTGCTGTGCTCTGAGGGTCTGCCTGGACGTGGGCACCCCGACTTTGCCGGTGCCCCCGCAGAAGCAGAGTGCTGGGTTGCCTGAGGCTGAGCAGCTGCGGGAGATGCTGCGATGCTGAGCTGAAAGCAGAGAGTGCCGCTTAGTGCCGCTGCTCTGAAATACAGCGTGTTGGACGCTCTGCTGGCTGACACTCCGGACACATTGGGGCTCTCCTGGGAGCCAGAGCCCTTCCTGAGCACGGCAGGAGACCTTGGCCGATGCAAATGCTTCTCCCCTTGGAGCCTTGCACACTACAAGAGCAAAGAGGAGCCGACACTCGTGTCTTATGTATTCTACATGGAGGAAATCACGGATGAAGGCAGGATGCTGCTGTAAGCAGATGCTGTTCATCCTCGGGAAGAGAAGTCCCAGGGGATATAAGCAGTGCCTGGAAGTGCCTGATAAAGGATGGAGAGAAGAGGGAACCAGACACTCCTCGGTGATGTCCGGCGACAGGACAGGAGGCACAAACTGAAATATGGAAAACCCCATTTAAGCCTAAGAAATAAATTTATTGTGAGAGTGGTGAAGTATGGGAACAGGTTGCCCAAAGAAGTTGTGGCATCTCCATCCTTGGAGACATTCAAACCCAATTGGACGTGGTTCTGGGAACTTTGCTCTAGGTGACCCTGCCTGAGCTGCACTGTGAATCTGGGACAGTCATGATTTGTGATTTAGTGGGGAAAGCTCCAGCAACGACACTGTCAGGTCTGAAAGTGGGTGACTTACACTCGAAAGGTCCTTTCCATCTAACGAAATATATTAGGTTTTCAACCTAATAAATTATATTGCCTTTCCTACAGACCTAGTGCCAATGAACAGTGACCTTTCAGCTAACCAGGCAACTTGTGTGTGAGGTGGCACTGAGTTAATTTTCTACACTCAGAGAGGTTTTTCCACCTGGGAAGCCCCATTGCCAGCAGGTGGCAACCGTGCTAAAGCAAAATTCCTGGAGAAGTTTCACCTGGAAGAATGTGTTCTGCTTCACTGTTCTTCCAAAATTAACACCTTTAATATGGAGAAGGCAACATATCTCTTTCAGTTTTCTAAAAGGGAAAAAAGGCAATTGCCATCACGATGTATCAAGGGTTATCAGGTTGGGATGCTGAGGGCACTGACCCAACTGAATTGCCCTGAGCAGCCTCACCTGGAATCTCCTCCCACATCCTCTCCAATTGCCCCAGGAGCCCATTTAAACTGAGAACTGCAGCCCACTCCTCTTCTCTTTTACCTGTCCCATGCTTTCCTGGTGGAATTTGGACAGGTAAGAGCCCAGTTTGTTACCTGTATATTTGGAGAAAGCTTGAGGGAAAAGTTTTAGCTGAGGCAGCCTTCCTAAAACCAGTAGTTTATATACTTTGCAGGGCTAAGGGGTGTGAGAGTGAGCTTTCCAAGCTTTAAATATGGTGTTTCTGATCTTCAGACTGTTCTTCTCAAGTCCTGGTTCTGTTCAAGTATTTGAACTGTTTATCTGCTAAAGAAGGAACTTTATCTGCAGTGCTTGCTAGAGGTTTTTCTTATTGCTTATAAACACCTTAATTTTGTTATAAATCTACCCTATTTTACTTTGCAGTAGGTAAAATGCAATATATATAAAGCAAAGATATGGCACAAGTAGTGTAAATTTTCTCTTGTGAAAGAAGGACTAGACTCTTTTTCCCCATGAGGTTTATTTCATTAATCACTCTTAAGTAAATATATATTTGACACTTAACAGGAACAATTAGTTAAAAATAATTTCTAACACAAATTCCCACAGTTGTCATAGTATTTGTATGGTGAGTTGTTTAACCCTATTTTTGAGACACAAATCTTCCTTTTGGTCTAAATTTAACCTGTGTTAACAGTCCAGAAAAGAGGGAATTTGGGGTGGGGTGGAAGATGGACAACCCCCAAAATCAAAAACAAAGCTATATAACACATAGGCACATGTATTTCATGGACTTGAAAACGGTTTCTTTTTTTTTTTCTTCCAAATACTCATCCTCTGTCCATTTTATTGATATTTCATTGAAAGTGCTCATTAGCTCTGCCCCATGAAACAATCCTAATAACATGGAAATAAAGAACTGAGCATTGCATTATTCTGAAAACTGCTCTCCAGCCTGTTGGTGCTGTACAGCAGATGGCAATAAAGGACCACTATGTGGTAGAAATGCACCTCTGAAAGGAAGTTTTCTGTCCTTAATAACTCAGGGTGTGTATTTAAAAATAAAAATACAGAAATGCAACTCTGAGGAGCTGGAAGGAGCAAAGAGGGGAAATAAGAGCTGCAAGGGAGCAGGACAAACTGTGGATGATGAGCATTACAAACAGACACACACAAACACTTGTAAACGCCAGAACGGACATTGTGCATTCATTGGCCACCCCTTCAGTCTGTGAAGCTGCCCCTGCAAAGCCCTGGGAGGGAAAGGATCTGTGATCCCCAAGCCACTGTTCAAGAAGTTCTGCATTCCAGCAGCTTCCGGAAACTTTTCCGAAAACTGTCATCCAGGAAAGCGTACAGGAAAGGGTTCAAGCATGAGTTAGCATAGCTCAGGCTGGTGATGAAGTAGGATATACCAATGACCACAGAGGTCTGGGGCAAGTCGGTGGTCAAAGCCACAATGGTGGCCAAGTGGAAGGGGGTCCAACAGAAGAGGAACACAGCCAGGACTATGAAGACCATAATAGTGACTTTCTTCTTGGCTTTGTCCAGGGCTCTAGCGTTAGAGTTCAAGTGCATGTTCCTTAGCTTGTAGAGCATCATGGTGTAGAGGATGCAGATGGTGGATACTGGAATGGCAAAGCCAAGGATGAGGGTATAGATCCTGCTGGCTTTGAACCAAAACCTTTCAGGCTTGGGGAAATTGAGACCACAACTCTTTATCTCCAGGTCATCGGTGTAGACGTTGGCAAAGATGATGAAAGGGAGAACTATGATGGTGACCAGGATCCAGATGCACAGGCTGACAATCCTGGCTGCTCGGTACGTACGATGGGGCATCCTCTTGGACCTGACTGTAGCCAGTACCACCAGATACCTGTCTATGCTCATCACTGTTAGGAAATAAATGCTGGAGAAGATATTGTAGTGGTCTATGGACAAGATGATCTTGCAGAGGACCTCTCCAAAGGGCCAGTAGCGGAGCAGGTGTTCCGCAATATTAATGGGCAAGACAAGTGTGAACAAGTCGTCGGCTATAGCAAGGTTCAGGATGAACATGTTTGTCACAGTCTTCATCTTGGGGGCCTTGAGGATCACATAGATGACAGCAGTGTTGCCTGTGAGCCCCACAGCACAGATCACGGAGTAAATCACGGGGAGGACAACATAGAAATCAGCTGCCTGCTCTTGGAAGGAGAAGTTGAACCTCATGCTGTTGTCCAGGTAGCAGCTGTTGCCTGCCTTGCTGCAGGTGCTGTTCAGATCATCCCAAAAAGAGCTGTTTCCCATGCCTGTTGGTTACAGACCACCCTCAGATGTTACTGAAAGCCTTGCTAGCCTGGAAGAAAGAAGGGATGGGGGTTTTGTCGTTGTTGAGGGGGTTTATTGTGGTTTGATTTTGGTTTTTTCTTTCCCCTGGGAGAAGCAGCCACTATCTCATGTAGACACAGGTTATTTTCAAAGGTGGATTGTAAGGCAACATGGACCAGCTAACTTATCTCTCCTGTCCCCCCATGCTGGAGAAGTTAGATTTCGAAGTGATGAGAGAGGGGATAGTGCTTGAAAGGCACATAAGGCTCCATGAACCAAGGAAACAAGAGAATTATAATTCTCTATGTAAGTCAAGGAACTCTTCCTTCTGAGGGCATTCTGGTGAACTTTGCCTTTTCTCTTCTGGGGTAGTTGAGTGGCTCCAATTCAGCTGTCTGCTGAGAGTGTTCTTCTGGGGCTGGCAGGAACAGGCAGGCAGAGGGGGAGCTTTGTGGCTGTCTGGCTGTTCACAGGAGGACTCGAGGGACGGCTGCTGTTCCACTGGCACAGCACTTGCTTTCCATGCAGGAGCAGAAGTGTTGCAGTTGTTAATTAGTGCCTGCCTTGGTGTTGGAGTTCAGGCTCTTCATTGACTGAGATTTCACAAACAATGAAGAAGTTTCTGACACTGCTACTCCCCCACTCCCAGGGTCCCCTAGCAAAAGAAGGAGGAGGAAAAATCGTTCAGGGAGTATTTCCAAAACTAAGGGTTAAAGGGGCTTAAGCTGCAGTCAAAGTAATGCTCTAAGCAAGGGTGGGCTATGATCTTATTCACTGTGAAGACCATCCCCAGTGCAAAACACTGGCAGCACACCAAACTTGGCACAGATGGACAGACAAACCTGTAAATCTCAGAAGTTCAGGATTAATCAGGGAAGAGGGAGAAAAGTACTCTGAAAGCGAATCCACTTTCGAGTCACAGCGAGAATCTCCACATCAGTAGCAGTTGCCACATCCATCACTAACGCCTGACCCTTTCTTCTAAGAATTCCTCTGCTGGGAATGAGCAAGCACCGACTCCCCTACCCCCATGAAGATCAAAGGTTTGGCAACTGGTCCCCAGGCTCTGCAAAGAGAAGTGCTTCCCTTCTCTTGCATTTTGCTGTTGCACAGCAATCGAGTGCAGGACGGGACCGCCAGCGCTGGGGAAGGAGGGCTGAAGTGTCTCTTACCTGGTGAGTGGCTCCGCTGCCTCCTCCAGTACCTGCTGCTTGTGCTGGTGAGCCTCTTCTCTCTAAGCCGAGTCGGAGGAGGGTCTCTGGGATGCTGACGTTACCGGGCTTTGCAATCATATCACCATGATGCCTCTGTGTGTGTGCGTTGCATGTCTGAACAATTAGCACTTGCTCAAACCAGGGAAGAGGGGCAAAAAAAAAAAAGGTTTTCTTTCTGCAGGGTTATTTAAATAGTAAATAAGGTAGGTGCTGGTGAGCAGCTGATGCTCCAGGCTGTTCCCTTCAGGAATAAGGGAGATCTGGAGGGACACGGACAGCACCCAGGGATGGCTGAATGAGGGATATGTGAAACGGTGGGAAGCGGGGGGTTAAACTGCTTCAATAGGGAACAGTGGCTGGTTTTAACAAAGGAAGATACCCCAGAGGGAGTGGGAGGAGAGTAAGCAACATTACAGCTCGCAAAATGAACAAATAAACAGACCTTGCCAGATCTGTGCTGGTTTCAGCTGCTCTAGGGGAGTTTGGCTGATTTTTTTCCCCAGCTGGGTCTCTGGTGCAGCTTTGGAAATGAAGCAAAATCCTTCAGATGTGCATCAGGAGGTGCAGGAGTCCCGGGAAGCTTGACAGAAATGCACCTCAGGCTAAGAGCAAAACCAGCAACAGTGTAAGATCACTTTACCTTCATGTCCCTAGAACAAGAAGAAAAAGGAAATCAAGGGTCTCTTGATTCTCCTTTAGCCCTTTAAATGTTACCTGGCCTTCATTCCAAGACAAGGCAAGGGAAAATGCAGCCATCCGTTGCTGCCATGCCTGGCTGTGTGCATGTAACCAAACGGGTCAGCTTTTTGATCTGAGCTGTGTAGCCAAGAGCTGTGTTTGACTTTGCTCCTCTCCTGTAGATATTTACACTCTTCTGACAAGATTATTGTGCACCGGTAACTGGAGGGGGGGAGTAAAACACTTCATTGCACTTGGAGGTAATTTCTTAAAACTATGGGTATAACTGACTTTTTCAGCAGATGGAATTTTTTTTTATGCCAAGTGTACCACTCTTCCAGATATTTTCCTTATCTTGGCCAAAATCTGACCAGACATTAGGCTTAAGGAAAATGAAATAGAAATTATATTGCCCAAAAGATGCATAGGAATGCTATGGATGATATTTCTTTACATGAAACACCCCTGGAGCCGTCTTCTTGCCTATTTTGGTAAAGCTGTAAGTAGTTGTAAATGAAGCAAGGTATTGATAGGTCTGCAGGGAGAAGGCAGTTTCCAGGAATTGCTGTTGTCTTTTTCAGAGAAGAAAGTACACGAAGGCAGAGAAATTCAGGAGAATGTGATGTTACATTTGGTGATCTGTAACTATTCCCCAGGACAAAAGGGTTTGAAAGTACTTTGCATCCACAATCCTTCCGTTTAGGCTTTCTGGTTTTCAGCACGAAGCACATCTCTGGGATAGCTTAAAAGTCATCCTTTCACTCATCAACTATATTATTTTGGAATTGGCAACACACTGCCCTGTCCAGTGGTGGTGTGCCCAGGTGCTGTCTGTTTTAGGGACTGTTGTGATGGGCTGGGGAAGGATGCAGGGACTGCGATGCCGGTGACATTCCCTTGTGCTTTACCCTCTGCCTTGTGCCTTACTCCTCATTATCCGTAGTGAACATGCTCTCCGTGCCTTGGTTAGGATGTGCATGATTAAAATAACCTGCCAGAGATGAGATGGAGACTAATTAAATCTCATTGCCTGGTGTGGGTAGAGGGGCTTTTGCTTCTTATATCCCCCAAACAAATTCCTGGCACCTGCTTTCTGAGCTGTGCTCTTTGTGTAGTTCTTCAGTAAAACTCGCTTGCTTTGGGGAGGACAATTGCCAACAGATCTGAATTCATGTGGGAAATTGCTTTGCAGCAGGAGCCCTTCCACCAACAGAGAAAAATCTTTCCCCTGTGTGGCTCTGGGTCTGACCAGAGCCAGTGGCTGTGCACAACGGAGGCACATCGTGTGTATTAGTGTGATGGGGGGTGTTTGGAGGGAAGGCTGAGAGGATGTTTTATTCATTGTGTTTTCTCTGACTGGGCATCCCTTCCACTTGATTGTAAATATTATGGTGCTATGAAACCTTGAAAATGAAGCACTGGTTTGAAGATGCTGTTACAAAGGACATGAGCAGTGTTTTCCCTCTGAGCTGCTGGGACCTACTCTCATGCCAGCAACTCCACTGCCAGATCATGCAACAGGGACAAAGTTTCTATTCCTGCCAAATCCATGCCATGGAGATGAACTTTGCCTCTTGAAAGCCACGTTCACACTGTGCAGCTCAAGTTAACTGTGCAAAGAAAAGGTGGTGTTTTAGGGAGGGGGAAATCCCCGCCAATGCTAAATCAATGGTGCTTTATTGCCTTCATAAACCTGTCATGCTGCTCACTCCAGGCAAAGGCAATCCACCATTTTGGAGTTATGGAGAACCTGTTTTGTTGGGCTCCTGCTGCTGTTGAAGAGTCAAGTTCATCTCAAGGACACAGATACACAATCAATACCCTGTTTACCAAAACAAAATGTTCTCGTCTGACTGTCTTGCAGTCGTTGGTTATTAAGGTGATTTATTTGTATGAGGTGTTCAGGCTTTTCAAAAGCACTGCAGGTTAATAATAGAATCAAGGAATAGTTTGGGTTGAAAGGGACCTTTAAAGGTCATCTAGTCCAACTGCCCTGCAATGTGCAGGGACATAGTCAGCTAGAACAGATTGCTCAGAACCCCATCCAGCCTGACCTTGAGTGTTCCCAGGGATGGGGCATCTACCACCTCTATTGGTAACCTCTGCCACTGCCTTATCACCCTCATTGTAAAAACTTCTTTCTTGTATCTAGCCCAAACCCATCCTCCTGCTGTTTAAAGCCACTCCCCCCCTTGTCCTGTCACAACAGAACCTGCAAAAATAACCAGAACTGATTATGTCAAACAGTCTGCAATGGCTTCTGTTGAGGAAAGCCAGTGTGCCTGGTCAGGTCACTTGTTATGGGATAATATTCACTGTGCTCTAGCCTCTTCCTCGGGACTGGCTCTCCTTGAGCTGCTCTGATGCAAGCTTGGAAATGTGGAGAAGTTGGTCACTGCACCCCCAGGCAGCACCTGCTCCTCCTTGGTGTGCTGCTCATTCAGCAAAGGAGCAGTTGGTGAGTGCTGGGGTGAACTGGAGAAGAGAAACCTGAGCTTATCCATCACCCCTGTGCTGGGTGCTTCTGCCTTTGCCACAAGCTGGCTCGTGTCCTGCTGCTTCCTAACCCTTCCCAGCTATATTGAGCCAGGCTGGCTTAGACAGGTGATGGTGCTCCCCTTGTGGGACACCCCTGGGATCCAACAAAGGGTATAGGTGCTGATTTTTCTGGGGGGTGAGTGTAGGGCAGATGTCTCCATCAGTGAACTGGTAAATTGTGGTGCAGAAAGTGCCTTTGAATGGTAATAATTGCTATGGATCCAGGGACTGGTGACACATCCAACCCATCACAAGCTGCAGTGAAGGCAAAGTGGTACTGGAGGTGATTTAAGGAAAATCGTAGTAATGAGTCTTATAAATGGCCCGTTTTTGTCAGGGAAAGTACATATCAATAACTGCCCTGTCTGTCTCTGCAGGGGAGCAATCGAGATAAATGCCCTGTTAACAATTTCCTCAGACCAGATGTGATAGGGAATAAAAACTGCAGCACCAGGAGGTGGGTGGCTGAAGATGATTGCTCCCCACAAGCCAGGAAGGAGGCTGTGAGGCTCCAGCAATGGGTCAGTTCTCATCCCCAGCAGCTTTTGGAGAATCTGGCTCTTCTACCAAACATCTCCCAGCCCTGTGGTGC